GTGTGCATAGCACAGCTGAGCAATCTCGTCTGCTGTCCACATAGCTGGAGCTGGAGCCGAGGCCCTCCGGGAAGCCAAAACTATCAGAATAGAAAGGAAAGCCAGTGTAAGACAGCCTCACTCCAGTGCCTCAGCAGTGTCCAGTGTAGCCGGAGTGCTCAGACTAAGGATCCTGTTTTCCTGCTAACCTCCCTTCGCTCCCATCTTTAAGAGACAAGAGAGAGCCACAACTCCCACAAGGCATGTTACTGCTTCAAGATTAAAACAGCTATGTTATACCAGTGAATGAATCTGGATCTACTATGTTTTACACTGTCCTTTCAAACATCAGCTTGCTTTGGGCAGAGCTTCACCCTACAAAGTTACTTTCTGGACAGATGTTCTTTTCCTCTTTTCCCAACAGACAAGTCAACCTACCTTACTCTAGCAAATTTCCAAAGTCTCTCACTGGATGTTTTCACAACAGTTGTACTAAAGGGTGTGGGCATGGAACTGTACTTTCTAGTTCCAAGTTTACCACAGATTAACTGTGTGATTATTGGGTAGATTATTTTAGTTTTCACATCTGTTAAAACATGGATCATAGGGCTGGAGAGATGGCTCAGAGGTTAAGAGCACTGACTGCTCTTCCAGAGGTCCTGAGTTCAATTCCCAGCACCTACATGGTGGCTCACAACCATCTGTAATGAGATCTGGCGCCCTCTTCTGTATACATAATAAATAAATAAATCTTAAAAACAAAAAAAACAAAAAAACAAAAAACTGGGGCTGGAGAGATGGCACAGAGGTTAAGAGCACTGACTGTTCTTCCAGAGGTCCTGAGTTCAATTCCCAGCAACCACATGGTGGCTCACAACCATCTATGATGAGATATGGTGCCCTCTTCTGGCCTGCAGGCTGAACACTCACTGTATACATGATAAATGAATAAAATCTTTAAAAAAAAAACAAAAACAAAAAACCATGGATCATAGCTGGCCAGTGGTGGCGTGTGCCTTTAAACCCAGCACTCAGGGGTAATATGCAGGCGGATCTCTGAGCTCGAGGCCTGCTTAGTCTACAGAGTGAGTTCCTGGGCAGCCAATGCTACACAGAGAAATCCTGTTTTGAAAAACACAAACCTCCCCCGCCCCCCTCACACACACACACAAATCATGGATAATAGTACTTAACATTTTTTTCTTTTTGACTTTTCAAGATAGGGTTTTTCTGTGTAACAGCCCTGGAACTCACTCTGTAGACCAGGGTGGCCTCAAACTCATAGACATCTGTCTGCCTCTGCTTCTCAAGTGCTGGGATTAAAGGCATGTGCCACCACCACCTGGCTAGTACTTAACATATTTTATAAATACTTATAAAAGCAAACTCTTTAACAATGTCGACTGTGACTGACATTACAAAATACATTTGGTGATCTGGGACATTTGAGTTGGTAGGGGAAGGATTGTAATGGGCACATAAAGCCATTTATACACAAACTAACAAAACATTAAGCTGATCAGATCTGAAAGAGGCCTGAGAGGTTTGAAGAGAGTCTCCCACTCTTGGCTGTTAGTGCTCACTGGACATATCTTGACTCTATGTGATTATATGAAAAGCTTCTTAGATGAGCTTATATGATGGCTAGACACTGAAGAGCATTTGTAGCATAAACAACAGAATAGTTTTTACTGAGCTCAGATGTGATGTTTCTGCAAGGTATTTCTACAACTTCTGCAAGTTGCATTTATTTTTGCAGTAAATGGTAATGATTATTCTAGCAGGGACTAACAGAGATAGTTACTTTAAAGTCTAACGCAGAGAAGTCTTGTATTTCTTTTTTCTTTTTCTCTTTTTTTTCGAAACAGGATCTGTGTAGCCTTGGCTATCCTGGAACTCACTTTGTAGACCAGGCTGGCCTCGAACTCAAGAGATCCGCCTGCCTCTGCCTCCTGAGTGCTGGGAAAGTCTTGTATTTCTAGGAACATAAGCATGGAAGATCCTAGAATCCTGTTAGTTCCAGGGAGGCAGGACAGAACAGTTTATTTTATAAAGGTAGACGCCTGACCGACAATTAAACTAGAGGTGCATGTTACAAACTACAAGTCAAGGGGGAGAAAGCAGCCCAGACTCCATCACGTCACTCAGGCAGCGGACTGAGGACCACGCACGCGGTTGTTGAATGTTTCGATTTTTGGGTCCGCTGTAACGCTTGTCTAGGACCCCTATTTAAAGACCTTGAAGAATTCCTTCATACGAAGGAACTCAAACAGGCATTCCTCTGACCACTAACAATAGTCGCAAGAAGCTGAAAAACCCACGTCTTTCCTGTTTTCCTGGTGGGGCTCCGCGGAACCGGAGCTCCTAGCAGGACCGAGACCCCTCCCCGCGGGAGCAGAGGACACGTGTCCTCACAGCCTCCTCCCACACAAGCCCAGCTGTGCAGACCGGGCCCCGAGACGCCGATGTGGGGGCCCTGAGACCCTGTTACCCGCGCGCCACGGCCCACACCCTCCACCACTCCCGCCCCACGAACCCCTTCTACCGCCACACTCGCCAGAGAACCCGGTTGCGCAGCGGAAGTGACGCGCTAAACGACAGCTTCGCTCAAGCCCCGCTCGCGAAGCACGCTGGTCTTTGTAGTCCTCAGGTTGGAGCGGAGCCAAGTCCACTCAGTTCTAATCGAGTTGTGCCGAGGGGAGGAGGAAGCCCGCCTGTGCAGTGAGGTAAGGTTTCAAAACCGACTTACCCCGAAACTCGTCTGAATTTTGAACAGGACTATGATCAGATCCTCTGACAGTTCCCTGCCTTACTCATAACAAATCCTGCATGGCTATCGTGGGCTTGGATGACATGGCTCCTCACTCATTTCTCTTCAGGGGTAACATCCCTTGTTACTCTATGTACATATATGAATACATATCCTGCTCGACAGTATGTAAAATAGCAACGCAGTCCTCTTACCCTCTGCTCTGTGTTTTTATTTTTCTTTTTTAAAGATTTATTAATTATGTACAGTGTTCTGTCTGCATGTTCACTTGCAAGCCAGAAGAGGGCACCAGACCTCATTACAGATGGTTGTGAGCCACCATGTGGGTACTGGGAATTGAACTCAGGACCTCTGGAAGAGCAGCCAGTGCTCTTAACCTCTGAGCCATCTCTCCAGCTCTTGGTGTTTTTTCTTAGTGTGTGTTCCCACCAAAAAAGGAAATGTACTTGATCTTGTCTGGTTCTCCCTCAACTTCCCGCTCAAGCCCTGCAGAAAACAGAAGTTATTTCCATGGAAGTAGTGATTTGATTGTTCACTGCTGTGTTTCCAGTATTTCAGAACAATGCCTAGTATTGAACAGACATTAATATAAATCTGTTTAAAGATTACAGCTGCAGATGAGACTTGACTCAGGAGTTAAGAGCACATCTTGCTCTTACAGAACTGGACTTTGGTTCTCAGCATCCATTTGGTTGGACAGCTTAGACTGCCTGTAACTCCAGCTCCAGGGGATCCAATGTCTCTGGCCTCAGAGTGCACCTGTGGTGGTATTGTGTTCCCCAAAATATTGTGTACTCTAATAAATTTATCTGGGGTCAGAGAACAGACAGCCACTAGATACAAAGGCTAGAAAATGGTGGCACTCACTTTAATCCTAGCATTCCAGAGGCAGATATGTACTTGGTTCTCTGTGTGTTCAAGGAAATAGCCAAGCATGGTGACACACGCCTTTAATCCCAGAAAGCCAGCCTTTAATCCCAGGGAGTGGTGGCAGAAAGATATATAAGGCGTGAGGACCAGAAACTAGAAGCATTTGGCTGGTTAAGCTTTCAGGCTTTTGAGAAGCAGTTCAGCTGAGATCCATTTGGATGAGGACTCAGAGGCTTCCAGTCTGAGGAAACAGGACCAGCTGAGGAACTGGTGAGGTGAGATAGCTGTGGCTTGTTCTGTCTCTCTGACCTTCCATTCACCCCAATAACCGGCCTCGGGTTTGATTTTATTAATAAGAACTTTTAAGATTCCTGCTACATGCACCTGTACTATAATGCACACACACATAATTAAAAATAAAAATAAAGCCAGGCAATGGTGGCGCACGCCTTCAATCCCAGCATTTGGGAGGCAGAGCCAGGTGGATCTCTGTGAGTTCAAGGACAGCCTGGTCTCCAGAGTGAGATTCAGGATAGGCACCAAAACTACACAGAGAAACTTTGTCGTCCCCCCCCCACCAAAAAAAAAAATTACAAGCCAGGTGGTGTGGCAAATGTCTTTAATACTGGCAGAGGCAGGTGTATTTCTGTGAATTTACACCTTTTTGTGGCCAGCCTGGTCTACAAAGTGAGTTCCAAGATAGACAGATTTTTTTTTAAAAGACAGGGTTTTTCTGTGTAGCTTTGGAACCTATCCTGGAACTCGCTTTGTAGACCAGGCTGGCCTCGAACCTCGAAATCACAGAGATTCACCTGCCTCTGGCTCCTGAGTGCTGGGATTAAAGGCCTGCACCACCACCGCCTGGTGACAGCCAGAATTCTTATACAGAGAGGTCCTGAGTTCAATTCCCAGTGACCATATGGTAGCTCACAACCATCTATGGTGAGATCTGGTGCCCTCTTCTGCTTTGCAGACATACATTCAAGCAGAACACTGTATACATAATAAATAAATAAAGCTTAAAAAAAATCAACCAAACAAAACAAAACTAATTTACAATAACATGGTCTAAACATTCATTAGACTAGCAGTCCGAGGGGAAAAAAATGTAACATTACATAGGTAACGAGAGAAATGGTTTATTTGGTAACAAGGAATAAAAAGAAATTCTTTAACTTTTCTCTCTTTTGGTGGTTGACTGCAGTGGCCAGATGGACGGCAACACACACGAACCCTCAGAGCAGTTCCTGTGCTGAAATGCGGAGGAACCGCGTTCTTCACCCTCTAGGCAGAGGGGCCGGCTGCTGTGCTCTCTGGTGTCTCGGTGGCCGCTGTTGTCTCCTTCTTGTCCTCAGGCTTCATGGCAGGAAACAGAAGTACTTCCTACAGAGGAGCAAGACAGACTGCAAAATTAAAAAGCACCAGGAGCTTGGTGGCACAAATCTGTAATCCCGGCACTGAGGAGGCAGAGGCAGGTGGATCTCTGTGAGTTTGAGGCCAGCCTGGGCTACAGAGTGAGTTCCAGGAGGACAGCCAGGGCTACACAGAAAAACCCTGTCTCAAAAAACAAACAAACAAACGAATGAATGAATGAATGAATGAATGAATGAATGAATGAATAAATGGCCCCACGAATATTTTTTGTTGTTGTTTTCGCAGCTATCCTTATTGCTTCTGTCTCTGTTGTTACTGACCAAATCCAGAGAACTACACACCTTAACACAAAACCACCTAGGCGCCATGTCAAAAGAATGAATCAACACAGGTTCTAGTAAAAGTGACTTTCAGCGGCTGGAGAGAGGGCTCAGCAGTCACGAGTACTTGCCGTTCTTGCAGAGGACTCAGCCACATGGTGGCTTATAGCCACGTGTAACTTCTTAGAGGGGATTTGACAATCGGCCTCTGCAGGCACAATGTATGCTTGTGGTGCAAAACAGTCGTATGTATAGTTTTTTTAAACTCATTATTTTTTTTTTAAAGTGAACTTCCTCCTAGGCATACATTAACATAATCTCAGTTCTGGAGGTAGAGGCAGGAATATCAGGAGTTCAAGGTCACTGAACTACAGTGGAGATCCAAGAGAGCCCTGTTGTGGGATATTTGTACACTGTGTGAAGGTGTATGCTGTGATTGGTGTAATAAAAAGATGAACGGCCAATAGCTAGGCAGAAGGTATAGGCAGGACTTCCGGGCAGACAGAGGAAGTAGGAGGAGGAATCTAGGCGAGTGAGAGAGTTGCCATCCAGTGTGGAGGAAGCAGGATGGGTAGTACTGAGAGATGAGGTACTGACCCCAGCTACCTGAGACCCTGTCTAAAAGACAGTAATAATAAATGAACAACAAATGGATTTCCTTCTCTATAAAATACAATAAAAACAGTGTTGGCACCTTACAGAACTGACTGATATGAGGCAATACATTTGGGAGGACTTAGCATTTCCCTGGATACTAAAGAAAAGCAAACTATTAGTGTCCCTCCTGTCTCAGGTAGGGTCAGGATTTTACTTCAGTCTTCTGTTGTGGAGTAGGATATGGAACATCTTCAGCATTTACTTTATTTTCCAGGCCCACCATGTTCTGCCTCCAGTACAGTGGAGTTCTGGGGAAGCGTGTACTGTGAAGTTTGTGCATACCTTGATATTGTTGGAATCTGTGAGAAACATAGTGACTCGGTCGATACCCATGCCCCAGCCGGCTGTTGGGGGCAGCCCATATTCCAGGGCAGTGCAGAAGTTCTCATCTATGAACATGGCTTCATCGTCACCAGCAGCCTTGGCCTAGAATAAATAAAGTCAAATGTAATAATCTAGTCCAGTGATTCTCCACCTTCCCAATGCTGCCACCCTTTAATACAGTTCCTCATGTTGTGGTGACCTCCAACCATAAAATTATTTTCATTGCTACTTCATAACTGTAACTTTGCTACTGTTATGAATTGTAATGTAAGTTTCGATATGCGATCCCCAAAGGGGCTGCAACCCACAGGTTGAGAGCTGCTGTTCTAGGTCATCTTAGCAATCACAAAGACACATCAAAACTTTCAAAAGAGATGCCAAAGATGCTCCTGACACTTAAGACTTGCTGGGAATTGATTTCCCAGTAACTCTAGGATTTAGCTATTTCTTCCAGAGACCTGGAGGTTAAGACTGACAAAGCAGGGGCAGGAGAGAGAGCTCAGAGGTTAAGAGTACTGACTGCTCTTCCAGACAGAGGTCGTGAGTTCAATTCCCAACAACCACATGGTGTCTCGCTCTGGTGCAATCTTCTGCTGATTCACAATAATTCAAAAAATCAAAAAAAAAAAAAAAAAAAAAAGACTGACAAAGCATACCTCAGAGATGAAGCCTGTATTTTAAATTGAATGTGACTGTACATACCTGTAGTTCTAACACTTGGAAGGCTGAGGCAGAAGGATTGACAAGAGGAGGCTAGTCTGGTTTACATAACTAATTCCACGCAACCAGGGCTAAACAGTGAGATCTTGTTTCAAAAAGCCAACAGGGGCAGGTATCGCTCATTATTTTATAGAAATAATATATAGTAATTAAATTTTTATGTCTCAGAATGTGGGCAAATTTCTCTGAACAAAAATGTTCCTCTGCTTGGGGATTTGGGACTCCAAATAGACAAGTTCTCAGCTCCTATGGGATGGTACTAAAGAAACCACCATCATGGCAGAGGCAGAAGACAGCTTTGGACACTGTCTTCCTTAGATCTTCATGTGTCACGCATGCTCGAACCACCTCAGGAACGGTGCAATCTACACCAGGAATGGTGGCACACTCAGGGGGATCACTCCGAGTTTCAAAACCAGCCTGGTCTACAGAGAGAGTGCCAGGACAGCCAGGACTTCATAGAGAGACTGTTTCAAAAAAAAAAAAAAGAAAAAAAAAAAGAAAAAAAACCCAAAACACCCCCCTAACACACACACACACACACACACAAAAAAAGAGGTATAGTCTGAGAAAAGTATGTTCTTGCTAAATGAATGTATATGCAAGACAAGTACCTTCTCCAGAGGTGATCTTAAACTCATTTTATGCATCATATAATCAAAGCCTTGAGTCTCAGCTGGGTATGGTAGTGTGGCCCTAATAATCCCAGCCCTTAGAGGTAGAGACAAGAGGATCAAGGATTCAAGGGCAGCCATAGCTACCTGAGATACTGTCTCAAAAACAAAGAGCAGCTCTACTTTGAATGTGACTTCCTCCTACAGAGCCTCTTTATGGGCTAGAGAATTGGCTCAGTGGTTAGAAGATGCTCTTCCAGAGGACCCAGGTTTGATTCCCAACTCCCATACAGTGGCTCACAATTATCTTTAACTCCAGCTCCAGGGGATCCAACTCCCTTTTCTGCCCTCCTTGAGCACTGTGTGCACGTGGTATACTGATACACATGCTGACAAAACACCCATATACGTAAGACAAAATAAAAAAAAATTTAGCCGGGCAGTGGCACACTCCTTTAATCCCAGCACTTGGGAGGCAGATGCAGGTGGATCTCTGAGTTTGAGGCCAGCCTGGTCTACAGAGCGAGATCCAGGACAGCCAAGGTTACACAAAGAAAACCTGTCTTGAAAAAACAAATAAACAAACAAACCATGAACAAAAAAACTCAAAACAAAACCCTAGAAAATTGAAAAAGCCTCTTGGCTTTGGTTGAGACACTGAGAAAGTGGACATCAACAGAGGGTTAGGGCCAGTACTTCCTGGTGAGCGAGCTCAGTGATGAAACAGATGTCACTGCTCACCCTCCTTCCTTACCTTGGCCTGTTCCTCAAACAGCTGCCGCTGCCGCATGGGATCATTCAGCTCAGTGTAGGCATTGCAGATTTCCTTCTTCATGACAAATAGCTCAAAGCGCTCAGTTAGACCCTCTTTGGAGCGGTGCCTGGGAACATGACCACAAAGGATGAATATTCAGGGCTCTGGTAATAACCTGACGCAAAAATTGAACCCTGAAGCCTCACCAAGGCCCAGCACCAGTCACTGGCACCAGAGTGAAGGTGAGAGAGACCGGAAGATTTGATTTATTCCCAACAGGCAGTGGAGCTGACTGAATCCATGCCCTTCTGCTTCGCCCTCATTCTCTAGGCTGCCCACTCGCTTTGGTCAAGTAGCTATCAGCAAAGGTCTAGCATGTTTGCTTGTTGAGGCTTATTCTTTTGGATGCCTGCCTTGGGAACCCAACCACCATGCAGACAAAAGCCAGACTACTGCCAGAGAAATCAGGTGAAGAGGCCCTAGAATTCCCACCCTAGTTACTGTATCAAGGCGTGGTGCAGAAAGACCACTAAGCCAACACAGAGCATCCAAACAATCTCTCACTTCACACCATTCACTTCTGTTTTTGTTTGTGAAAAGCAGCACTGAAGACTGAACCTAAGGTCATGTTAGCTAAATGTTCTACTGCATAGGTACAGCCCCAGCAGCCCCAGGCCTACCTCAGGGGTTTTTATGCAGCAACAAACCGTATCTCACCATTTGGCCAGAGGGCTCATAATCTGTGGGTGATCGCAGATGAATGTAGGACTGATGCATGTCACCTCGAGGAACTCTCCAACAAGCTTAGTGAAAAACAAAGCAGAAGTAGACATGGCATCTGAGTATCATTGACAGTCTAGCCCAAGAGGGGGCCTTAGCTCCAGTGTAGCGGGGGTCATCTTGTAGCTTTTTCAAAGGACAGAGTATTAACTAAGATAATATACATGAACTATTGGCACAGAGCTTATTATAGTTCAAAGTTTCTTTCTGCTTATATCTCACTGGGCTGGGAATTGAAACACCCCTCCCCAGGCCTTGACTTGCTAGGTCAGTACTTTACCACTGAGCTACATTTCCCAACCCCAATTCCAGGTTTCTTAATTCTCCTGCTCCTCTGTATGGTTTTCTCGTAAAGCTGCAGGAACAAATTTGCCTCATGAACCCATTTCCTAGGGTTAAGGTGCCGCTCAGCACTGGATGAGCACAAGTGTGCCATCTCACCTTATCAAGGAGCCTGGCTGTGGTCCGAGGTGGGGGGCATTCAACAGCTTTTGCAACACAAATATCATCAAGAATTTTTCGAGTTTCTGTGACAGAAATGTACAAGTTAGGACAGGGAGCATCACTGTGGTCTAGGAAAAGTATCTATAAATATGAAATGTGAGATATTTTAGCTTTGACCCAATAAATGCAGAGCTGACTGGAAGGAAGGGAGGAAGGAAAGAAGGAAGGTGGGAGGGAGGGAGGGAGGAAGGGAGGAAGGAAGGGGAAAGAAGGAAGGGGAAGGAAGGAAGGAAGGAAAAGGAAGGAAGGAAGGAAGGAAGGAAGGAAGGAAGGAAGGAAGGAAGGAAGGAAGGAAGGAAGGAAGGAAGGAAGGAAGGAGGAGTATTTTACCTTCAGTTTCAAAGAGGCTGGTTTTTGGCAGCTTCACACCCAGGGCTTTCTCAAGTTCTTCCACCATGCTGATTCTTCGGAAAGGCGGGGTGAAGTCAATCTCATAGGCTTGGCCTTCTGGCCCGTCTGGGTGGTAGGTGATCTTGTAACTGCCTGTAATGCTTTTCACCATCCCTGGGGGAAAAGCAGCATCTCATGGACTGACCACAGGAAGCTCTCCTCTGAAAGCAGGACTGCAGTCTCCCAGACCTGAGCTGAAGACAGCAGGACTCACCTGACAGCATCTTCTCTGTGATCTCCATGAGGTCGTGATAGTCTGCGTAGGCCATGTAGAACTCACAGGTGGTGAACTCAGGATTGTGAGTCAAATCAATTCCTTCATTCCGGAACTGGCGCCCAATTTCATAAACCCGGTCAATGCCACCAACCACCAGCATCTACCAAAAACACAGGGCCACAGTCATGTGTTAATAGCCCTGATAAACTCCTGTGCACTAACTGGTTTTCATACTTAGGTATGTTCTCACTCAAAATAGCACCCTGCTGTCTTTAGACTCTTGTAGCAGGCATCCTTTGGTTTTCTTTGGCTGTGCGGGACTCCAGAGTCTCTCCCTATGTCTTTGTTATTTGCCATTTGGTGATCTGAGTTGCTCCAAAGCCTCTTCTGGGGTTAGGTTATAGGCAAGTGACCCTGCTCCACCTGCCAGACACACTAGTGATATGTCACAGAAGCCACTAAAGGAAGGTGTAGGTATTACACAGAATTCACTCTGGCGAAGGGGACCAGAGGCACCAGAGGCTGCCATCTGCAGAGATCCTAGCGCAGTGCCTTGTCTTAGTAGGAGCTGGTGCTCCCTGTGACAGCAGCGCAGGGGTATGAGCTGGCATCATTCCCGGTCACCGATCCAGGCACAACTCTCTGACCGTCAATTGTGGCTTCCTAACACAGGTGAGTTTGCTTTCATGTGTCTGCAACTAAGAATCTTGGATGACAGTCTTTGGTATTTACACTGCTAATTTGAAGAGATTTCTTTTTAATTTCTAGGAAGAAGTTAAAATCATCAAAAGTCCTTTTATGAAAGACTGAACTTAGAAGGATTGGGATGTAGTTCAGTGGCAGACGTTTTTTCCTTCTTCTGAGATAGGGTCTCACTGTGTAGCCTTGGCTGGCTTAGAATTCACTATATAGACCAGGCTGGCTTCAAGCTCACAGGTTCGGCCTGCCTCTGCTTCCCAAGTACTGGCATTAAAGGTGTGAGCCACCATGCCTGGCCAGTTGTAAAGTTTTTGAAGAAGAAAAACAAAACAAAACAAACAAGACTAAACTCAGAACTAGTCCAAGGAAGACTGAAGTTAAAGCCTTCAGGGGAACTGAGGAGAAATGTGTACACACTTGTACAATGCCTTCAATCTTCGCTGCTTACAAGG